GGATTGGCGTAATTTTCTGCGTGGAGATAGTTGGAGGGTTGAAGAGTGACATAGGCTACTTCTTACCATGGGAGATTATCTCATTCCCACAGGAACACACGTTATAATACAACCAAAAAAATATTTTTGATTAGAATTACTTGAAACTTGGTATAAATGCTCTTCAATACAATTAAATAAATACGTGTATTAGCATTTTTCGTAATTAATCCCATAATGGGATATAATATGGAATGAAAGTTTATATGAAACTTATCTTTTTATAGTTTTAGCGCGAGCGAAGCCGCAGCTTCTGCTAGTTACTTTATATTTTTCAAAATTTGAAAATTATAATTATCAACCTCGATAATAATGTATGACAAATCGTCGTTATAAAATAAAAATTTTGTTTTGTAATATGTGCTTACCTATTTAAAATATTGTTGAACAAAAGAATAAGCATAATAATATGTACTTATGAATAATTTTGATCCCTTTTGAATATTTTTTTAATGGCTTTTGTAGAGTAATAATAGGTTAATTTTATATAATTAATATTTTTGAATTCATAATTTTACCTTCTTCATTTATATATTATCAAGATAATGCAAAATACCTGTGACTTTTACTATTAAAATGATTAAATAAGATATGAAATTTGCCAGCATTAAACAAACGTTATAAAATACTATATTATGTGACGGTTGCGAAACTTGTAACAACATCTAACTAAACCATAAGTTTTTTGATAAGTCAGTATTTAAACGATAGGGGGTTGGGGGTGTTACAGGTTGCTGGGGTTTGAGTGCAGGTCAGAGAGTGATGTTACACTACATATATCGATTTAATTATATCGACACATATTTATACGATTTCAGCAACTTAAAATATTGTTTTATACGTTTTTTTAACATTATAAATTATTTTTTCTATAATAATTCATTTATTTTCATTGTGACATTTTTATTGAGATAGCTATACCTCAATTGTATTCAAAATATACTGTTTGTGCAGCTAATTTTTAATACTATTAATTAATATACTATATTTATTAACATTTTCAATATTTTAATATTGAATTATTTCTAATGATTATGAAATAACTTCTTAATTTACTTCAGTTAACATCATATTAATTTAATTTAATTAAAATCAAACTTAAATTACGTATTATTATTATTTTACTTACTTTTTTCTTTTCTACTTATTTCTAATTTGCATGTTGTTTATTGTCTATTGATTATTTATTTATTTGTTGATTATTTTTATTGTTCCATTGTACGAAAGAACACTATTTCTTGAGATACGGATTTTCCGTACAATATAATAAAAAAAATTATCAATAAATAAATAATCAATAAGATAGAGATAATAATATGTATGAGTAATTTTGATCGCTTTTGAATATTTTTTTACTCGCTTTTGTAGATTTATAATAGGCTATTTTTAAATAAGTAATATTTTTGAATATATAATTTTACCTTCTTCATTTATATAATATTATCAAGATAATGCAAAATACCTGTGACTTTTACTACTAAAATTATTAAATAAGATATGAAATTTTCCAGCATTAAACAAACGTTATAAAATACTATATTATGTGACGGTTGCGAAACTTGTAACAACATTTAACTAAACCACAAGTTTTTTGATAAATAATTATTTAACATCTCTAGGTAAATTTCTAAGAAATTAATTAAAATTCTGAGAAATCTATTGTTAACTGACACGCCTGCGTGTCCTTGGTCGTGGAGGGATTAAACGATATTTTTATTGTTTTTTTTTTATTGGTTTAAACGTTATTTTTATTGGTTGGTTTTCCTAGTTTAGGGTGCACGCGTTACCACGGAGTGTTTAGATATGCTTTTTCCAAACAAATACGATTATTATTTCTAATTTTTTATATATATATTTAATTAAATAAGGAGTCTTCAGTATTTGTGAATTTGTTAACAACCTTATGACAGATACAAATCGTATCGTATATTCTGTTTTCTACGCAAAATAACACCCATACTCATGTTTTTTTCTATAAACCACCTAATTCCGCCCAACTAAGCTAAAAGATTAAGAGATTATGTCGAAATCAATTTTACCTTGGATATAGAACACTTGTTGTTATTTTACATAACATAATTGAACTCTATGTCAAAAATGATATTTTATTGCAATGTAACTGTTGCTGTATGTTTTTGAAGGCAAATATTTAAAAATATTATATCGATATCGATAGCCAAAATGATAAGCAACACTAAGAAGCAACAGGGTGTTGGACGCCTGCGCGCACCCACCCCACCTCCTTTAAATTGCCCCGCAGGACCGTTTGGGTCTCAAATCTACGCCTGCCTCCGACCGAAGAGGAGGTCCTCCTGAATAGAAGGCATCTCGCGGAAAGTAGTAATGTGTTTGCTACCCGGGCTGTAAACCGTGTTTTAAGACTGGATGCTGTGTTTTTGGTGAAAATGTTTAGTAACTATGAACAGAGTGGGTGCCTGTTTCTGTGAGCAGTGGTGAAAACCAAAGGTAGGTTTTATTTAAGTGTTTAATATTTTCATAAGCCACCACGTGAGATATTTGGATGCTTTTTTAAAATAAAATATCACTTTTTATAAAATGCTATTGTAAGTTATAATAATAATTTTTATTTTTTACTTTTTAATATATTTCTATTAATTATGATATTTTTCTAGTACAATTATTTCATGCGACTATACCTGGTTTAATTGTTATGTATTATTTTTAATTTATTTTTTTATATATTTATATATATTATTTTGCTTTTGCGTGTTTTTGTTTAAATTATTTAATTGAAAATTTTGTCAAGTAAAAATCTTAAAATTAAAAAAAAAAACAAACCGAGTTTATCAGAACGTGGTGGCTGATTTTTATACATGATCAGTAATAAATTATTCCCTCGCTATATTAAAGTGAAATACGAGAAAAATTTATAACTGATCTAATAAATATAGGTCTCCCGAGGGATTAAGAACACATCATAAGTTCGAGAAAGTATCTACATATTATAGTGGTAAGAAAAATAAATAACAAGACTATGTAGTATATGCTACGTACCGCGCTACACCAGTTGCAAAATAGTAGGTATTGTATTCAGCCCTTTTTAACATCCCACTGCTGGGCATCGGCCTCCCTTTGCTACAAGGGGGATCTGGCCACCTCGTTGGCTAAGACTTCACATGTCTTTCAAAAACTACAGATAATCTCACGATGTTTTCCTGCACCGTAAGACAAGTGGTAATGATGTTGGAAATGATTCGAATATGAAAATATCAGAGGTGTAAGTAAGACCTGGGATTTGAACCTGCTTCACTCGGTTTCACAAGCGAGCGCGTTACCACTGGGCTACAACTGCCTTTTAACTTAATAATAGGTAAATCTTAGTTTTTAATTACCATATATCACGTCACAATAAAGATTTTCAATTTATTATAAATTATGACCGTATTTGAATTTGAACTTGTAATCGATGAAATTTAAGTTTTGAGCACTAAGCAACTACGGCACCAAAGTATCGGAAAAACTATAAACCTAAAGAGAATTGCCAGCCACTTTACACTTTTACAAATTGGCCGTCGGAAACTGTAGTTATGGAGGTTCTTAGAACTTTAGCTGTAAATCCACTTATTTGTTTTTATAATAACAAATAACATCGGAATCGTAAGTAAAAACCACAACATATTTCAAACGAAAACTTGGAAAAATTACAGTAATAGGTGTGTAGTACCTATTACTGTAATTTTTCCAAGTTTTCGTTCATATGTACACGTATATATGTACACATTTTTGTTTGCAATGACCTTAAAATTTCTAGATGAAGCAGAATGATGTTTTTTTTTGTAGAAAAAATGACAGTAAGGAAAAAGTATTGTACTAAAATTTTGAGGTTAAAACTTTTCATATTTGGAAAAGAAAATATTAGATCTTTCGAAGTACACAGCACTTTCTTGTTTATTCAACGTAACTTCCGTCGTTTTTCTGTTTCTTATGATTTTCGCACATGCAAAAAAAATTGAAGGGTTTATTTTGAAAAAAAAATATCCACAAAAAAATTAATAAATGATAACACATTGAAGTAAAATTAACTTGTTTGAAAAATATCTATAGGTACTAAAATAATCGGTAATTTTTAACCGAAAGCCTGACGACATACTAAATATAATTAATTATTTACAGTCATCACCAATTCAACATGTAAATCATTATTTATTAAATAAATAATGATGATAAAAATATGTGTTAGATTGCTTTATTATTTTACTAGCGACTCACACCCTCGCTCCCCTCGGGTTTGTCCTTAGTTACGTTTAACGTTTAGTATAAATTTCGCAGGCAGACAGACAGATAGACAAAAATTCTAAATGTCTCATTTATGAGAACAAATTTCAAAAACTGCAATGTAAGACTATACTAATATGTAAAACCTAAGAATTTGGTTTTTGGTCATCTGAACGCGGGCAGAGCCGCGGGCAATGTTAGTTAATACATTTATTTAAAAGATTAAACTTTACATTTTTATCACTACAATTTCCATAGCGAAATATATTGTCCTCAACACGTTTTCATTTAATTATAACGAATTAATTGAAGAGAGCAGCTTACCGAAACCATCAATTAGTGTGTAATCACACGTCACAGGAAACAATCAGACCATAGGTTATACGTTGTAATGGCTGCTAGTGCATTGTTTTGCTACAAAGTTTATTTTACAATCTTATCCCATTACAATATACAATATTATATACTTTCTACATTAATATACAAAGATAATGATAAGCTAAAAACTTCTGTAAATATTTTATTCTAAGCAAGTGATAACGCTTATTGTCAATTCAATACATTGGCTAATACCATAAGAGATAGAAATTATATAATTTTATCTTTCCTAAGCTCACAGGCTCTTCAAGATACCACATATAAATGTGAAGTCTTAGTCAAGTTGTCTTTTTGAAATCGATTTTGTTGAAAACTGAAAAACATAATTATGGAAACAATATTACCTGATGGGCATATGGCCTTACCGTAGCGGATTCAGAGGAGAGGTGTTGGGGGAGAGGGGTGGGGGTAGAGGGATGGGGGGTTGGGTGGGGGAGAGAAGGGGAGGGGGAGGGGGAGGGGTTGGGGGGAGGGGGAGGAGAGGGGAGGAGGAGTGGAGGGAAGGGGGAGGGGAGTGGGGGGGAGGGGAGTGGAGGGAAGGGGGAGGGGGAGGGAGAGGAGATGGGAGGGGGAGTGGAGGGAAAGGGGAGGGGGATTGGAGGGAAGGGGGAGGGGGAGGGGGACTAAGGGGCTAATGTTCCCCCGAAATCATCGGACACGCAGGACAAATTTCAAATTAAACTTGATAATCTTGATAATATTATCAAAGTATTATACTGTTAACAAAGTACTATTATCTTTTTAAAATGGACTGAAAAAAATAATTTAATACTCTTAATTCTTAACTCAATGATCTACGACTTAGAAAGGCAGCTGCTATTAATACGATTTTCGCCTTGCATAAAAGCGGACATTATAGTTTAGGTCCTAAAGTATCTTTAAAAGATAAGACTAAAGGAGAAGAATAAGAATACATATTGACTGTTGCTTCTGTATGTTTGTTAAACTATACTTACACGAATTTTGAAAGAAGTGTGGCATGCTTATTGCATAAGATTAATACTAGGAGCAAACACAAACTTGAAATGCCTGTTTACACTGAGTCAGTAATTCTTTTTATGGACAATATATACGATTTTACTACAGGATCCTATAAAACGTTCAAAAAGCTTCTATAACCAAATTCAAAAAACTGTTAAGAACGTTTGTGTGCTAAAGGTTATTATACAATAAATGATTTTATTAAAGATTTTTTTAATAATAACTAGCGACTCACCCTCGCTCCGCTCGGATTCGTCCCTAGTTACGTTTAAACGTTTAGTTTAAGATTTCTCAGTAATGAGATACTTTCCCGCACTAACAAGTATCCTATATCTTGACCCGAATAAACAGCTATCATCGTACCAAATTTTATCTAAATCTGTCTAGTGGTATATCATGACGCGTTCCTAGACAGACAGATAGTTAGACAGAAAAAGCTCTAAAAACTATAGATTCGGACTCTGTATCGATAATAATGACTATTTCAATAAGATTTACCAAAAACTATTTAATGTACAGATTTGACTCAGAATGTTGAATGATTTGGTCGCCTCCAGGCTCTTCGATTTTGTAGAATTATTGTAATTTTTAAAGTAATTATAAAAAAGAATAAAAAAATATTTTAGCCCCGTTGAGATTCGTTTACCAGTTCTAGTCCGGTCTGTAACTGTAATAATTTAATGCTGGATAAAATATTTTTGAAATTTAAGAATGAAAAAAAAAACAGTTTTGGTGTCAGAAAAATTAACGTTGGGAAAAACATTTAAGCATATGTATATACAGATGGTTATGTGGGACTCACCTGCAAAAAAAGCCTTATCTTGGCTACGTACAACGGGTGAAAGGCTTCCCGTACATTTAGTGGAACTCCAAGTAGAACTAAGTAAGGTCAAATTGCAAATTTTGGGGTTGACAGAAGTGCCAAGACAGGAGAAGAATCTAACAACCCTGGAGTCAGGCGATCTTTTTTACTTTCGGGAGGAAAAGAAAAATTGAGTGACAGCATTATCTTTCTCGTTAATAGTAGATAAGGAAAGTAGGAATACAAGCACGCGAAGAATTAAGAATCGGATCACTCATTATTGCCCTAATCACAAAATCGCAAGGGCTAAGTATATACTTAATGGACACGTTTTTTTCAAAAAAAAACTTAATAAGAAATGGACCAGCAAAGCCTGCATAGTGTAATTACGAATGTGATCATCTTTATCTAATGCAACTTGGGGCTGCGGATGGTCACATTGTCACTATCAAACCAGATTCTCACGGAACTGACAAAATTTGATGGAATCCTGTGATTAGAAACTCAGATCCTCATCCAAGAGCGATGTTTAACGGCCACCTTACTGAAAACCTCCCTGTTATTGACTTTAGCGAGATTAAAATAACTCTCAAAAAACTAAAAAATAACCAATCTCCTGGTGAGAATGGTATAATAGCGGAATTGTTACAATCGGGCGGGATTTTGGTTCTGTAGGAGGTCTCAAAATTATTCAACAACATACTTGAACCAACTATTGTTGAAGATCCAGCCCTTAAAATTGTTAAAGATTTTTTTGTTTGTCTACCCGGGATAAATAATCCAACTTAGATGAAACAATTTCAAAAAAACTAACGGGAGGATTTAGTTGGACATTTAGGCTACATTTGGAATACTGAGTCACATTTTTCATCGCCGTTACCCCAATCTTTAGGACATATTATAGTCTTTAATCTGGGCGGGCTAACAATAATGGCCTACGGTGCCAAAACGTGGATACTCACGTAGGAATTATTTCGCAAATTTAAGGTCAGAGTGCTATGGAAAGGTCTATTTACTTGAGGGGTAGTATTTTAAACGGGAATATTCACTAAAAAACAAAAGTGATCGACATAACCCAAAGAGTTAGCACGCATAAGGGATAGTGGGTTGGTCATGTCTGCTACAGATCTGACAACCATTGGAGCAGACAAGTTTTAGCTACGATACCACGTTTTGGTATGTGCAGAGCGAGACGCCGTGCGAAAATATGATCAGACGACATTGACAGGAATACAGGCTCTGACTTGAACCTAGCGCAACCTGAGAGAAGAGTACATTAAGCAGTAGAGGGACATGGGCTGCTTATTGATCGGCTTTTATCCTAGTATGAATATAAAAATTCAGTCCACAAACATGCAATAAAACTTTTGTTGCGAGTACGACGCATTTTTCTAGAGTTGTCATCCGCCATTGGTCTTAGAACTTATTGGAGTAGTAAACTTGTATACGTGTATAAATTGCCATTGTAAAATGTCAACATGACTAAGCCATTTTTAAGTCATTTCTGATTTTCATGTGTCTAATTCTAATTAAAATATAGCAGTATAGCTGCTTAATTCGACATGCAAGATTTTCTGTAAAAAAAAATATGATTTTGTGTATTATACACAAATCTAGTACGACGGTTTATTTTAGGATGTATGTACATCTGGCAAACAATTATTTTATAAGCATATCGCGTGCAAACATTGATAAAACGATCTAGAATAAATAATACATTCTCCGTAGTTTCGCGTGTACAAAGACTTTTATAAATATTGCTTAAATCCCATATGAAATAATGGCGTGTACGTTTTGCGTGATGCATCATTTACTTTCAATTTACAGCATGATAAAAAAACGTTTAGTGTTATTCGTATTTATACAAAAAGAGACTTTATATATAACTTGTACTGAACTTAAAAGTAATTAATCCTATAGATTAGTCGTCGTTCGTAATTAAGTTTCTGCACTACTCTTGGTACCTAAGTATAAAAATGAGCCTATCGAACATTTCTCTGTCTAATGATATACCCAGACTTATATAACTTTACTTCAAATTATATACATATTTATCCAGTATTGGTATTTAACAAATACTCTTACCGACTTAAGGCAACTGTACTAATCTATACTTAATATTATAAAGAGGCAGTTTGTTTGATTGGTCGAACGCGCTAACCTCAGGACCTATTAATCCAATTTGAAAAATTATTTTTGCTTTAGATAGCGGTTTATTGAGGAAGGCTTTTTATCCCGGAAATCATCGTTTCAGGGAGTGAAAATGGGGATGAAAATTTGTATTGGGAAGCAAACTAGGGACGAACCCGAGCGAAGCAAGGGTGAGTCGCTGGTATTTAATAAAGTTAGTACACTAATTTTAAAAACTTAGTAATGAACACTGTGGCCAATTTGTAAAATTAATAATGTTGGTTATATGTATTCAATAGACTTGTTTATTCAAAAATAATAAATTAAAAAATAAATAGCATAAAATAAAAAAAATATTTGATAAAAAGAAAAAATACATTAAATAAAAGTATAAAAAATATACGAGTATATTATAAAGCATTTCAAAAAGGTTGAATTTTTTGCTTTTACAGTATTGCAATACCTCCTCTGTTCTTACGTTTAGAGGTATTGTTGTGGAAATTGACTTTGGGATGGCCGAGCGGTTGCTGTAACGTTGTCATATGAACCAAGTCATGTGAAAAATTATTGCCCTAATCTGTTTCGGGCCCATCAATTTGGAATAGTATTCATACATCAAAAATATTTTAGACTAGATAGCTATTATTGTGCTTAAGTGTGCTAAACTTGGTTATCTTTTTTAAAAATACTCTTAATGAAAAAAAAACACATTCCTTAAATTAATATTTGATCCCAAGTGCACTATTATAATATACTAGCGGCTTACTCTCGCTTAGCTCCGGTGCTTCCTGTATGTTCCATATGTTTTAAATATAAATAGTGTTTACTAGTATACCTTAGGAGATAGACATATACGTACTTGATATTGGAGATTTTTCTGTAGGCCGTTTTAAGACCTATAGAAAAATCTGCAATATCAAGCCATGTAAATTTCTAAGGACAACTCTATTGAACCAGTTATTGTGGTTTCCCGTGGAAATGAACATTTTTTTATGTAGTAAAAGGTATATCGTAAATGTTAACCCAAGTAATAAGCTATAACTGCACAAAATTTTGTTAAAATAACTTCAGCACTTTTTGCGTAAAACTCGCACATCCAAACGACAACCAACAAAATTTAAAACCTATTGTTTTCATACTCTGTCTGTCCATACTCTGTACATATATATCTATCTTCTTCTTCTATATATATAAAAATGAATCCCTATTTCCCTTGGTCACGCCTTCATGCGTGAACGGCTGGACCGATTTAGATGAAATTTGGTAAGAAGATAGTTTGAGACCCTGGGAAGAACATAGGATACTTTTTTATCCCAGAAATTATCCCTTAAGGTGGTGAAAATCGGGATGAACGTTTGTATGGGGAAGCAAGCTAGGGACGAGCTGACGGTGAGTCGCTAGTAGTCTTATAAAAAAATATTTCATGTAAAGATTTCGTTGAGTTACTGTTTTATAATATGTACAGATAAATAAAATATTTCTTATGTTCCTTTTGTTCAGCGCTTTCCTCGGTATTTTTTCCACCAATAAAACGCCTATGTTTTTGAACTATCTGCAAAAATTGACTTGAACGTTTTGGTCCGTTGTTGTGTTAAAGTAGGACAGATTGACAAATATTTCTATAAAACTTCGCTGATATTTATTCAGAAGGAAAGCAATAAAGTGTCTCAAACGTAATAAACAAACCTCAACATTTAAGTAAGTTAACAGTACGAATCA